GTCTATATAGTTTCTCTTATTTTCTATTTCAGTTTTAGTTATTTTAGTACATTAAATGAAAACGTTAAACATTAAATATGTTTTTAATTCAAATGTTTGTTTAAAGTAAAATTAATGTTTTTAATGGTTTTAGTTAACTATAATGACCCTGATACATATTTGATGATGCATATATATATGTATGTATCTATGTATCACCAATTTTATACAGTAATTAATTTAATTTACTAACATTATTGCCAGAAAAGAATATTCATCCAAATAAATATTATAAAATATTATTGATTAGGACGTAGAATATTGATCGTATGGGGAAAGGGAATGTTTTTCCATGTTGAATCCAACTTAAATACCATAGATGTGAATAAAATGTTAACATAAAATAAAAATATAAATAAAAAATAATAATAATAACAAATCATGTTATTCGTCAGCTACCTAGGTGTAAATCCTGACATTAATTCCAGGCATGCATATTCTACATTATATTTGACCCTGGACCACAAAAGCAGTCTTAAGTCGCTGGGGTATATTTGTAGCAATATCCAACAATACATTGTATGGGTCAAAATTATAGATTTTTCTTTTATGCCAAAAATCATTAGGACATTAAGTACAGATCATGTTCCATTAAGTTATTTTGTAAATTTCCTACAGTAAATATATAAAAACTTAATTTTTGATTAGTAATATGCATTGCTGAGAACTTCATTTGAACAACTTTAAAGCTGATTTTCTCAATATTTTGATTTCTTTGCACCCTCAGATTCCAGATTTTCAAATAGTTGTATCTCGGCCAAATATTGTCCTGTCCTAACAAACCATACATCAGTGGAAAGCGTATTTATCCAGCTTTCAGATGTATAAATCAGATGTATAAAATGAAATAAAAAAGTACCCTTATGACTGGTTTTGTGGTCCTGGGTCACATATTGTTAAAATTGTCACTGGAATGATGCACCACCTTTACTTGCCTGTAGGTGGTGCAATATGACCATTCTAACAATGTATTCCTATTGAGTGAAGCTGAGGATAAAAACCAACCGATCAGTTCAATTATACAGAGGAAATATGAAGCAATTAAATTAAGTAATTAACCCCATAGCACCTATTTTGTAATACGTTATTTGCCTTCTAATAATAACTGTGATATATATCAGGTGTCAATATATCAGTATTGTCTTAAATGACAATAAATAATATGCATTTAAAAAGTCAACAGATGCATGCATAAGAACGCAATTATTATAATTATTATTAATTATGATTATAATTTTAATAAAGTCTTAAAGTGTTGAGTTTAATAGTATTTAAAAATAAGAGGAACTTCTAGTTATGAATGTATTTGACATTCACAAATGTTGAGTTTTTACTATTATCATTTTGAATTACTGACACAATATTTTCCTAATTAATGCTGTTCAGTTGCTTTGACATAATCTGTATTGTTAAAAGCGCTATATAAATAAAGGTGGCTTGACTTGACAAATATATTCACACTATTCCAGCTTTTGTCAATGGTTGATCAGTCAGTGGCCTTCATGACCTGCGTAGAGCTACACCAATAAGAGGAGAAAGCTCTAGCGTTCAGCCCAGCGATAAGCTCCACATCCTGCAGGCTGCTTCAGTTCCAGACGCCTGTACACCCTCGTGACCCACAGACACTGTGTCTGGCCTGGATCTGCTGCAGCTTGAGGAGGTGTAGCCTGCTGTCAAAGTGCACAGCACAGGTCTCATCTTTGACCACCAGCAATGTTCTTCAAAAAATTACATTACAGTGTCTATATATTCAGCTAGAGCAAAATCAAATGTTTGTTAGATGTGTCAAAAACACATTTAGCAAGGACACATTCAACTAAATTTAAACCTGACACCCATCAAGGCAGCAGCAGTGAGTTCTAGATTCAGCAGTGATGTGGATCAGGTATAATTGTAAGAAATCCCAGTATTTACATTAATTAGACAAATGTGTATTAATATGATGGCTGGGTCTGTGTGTTGACACATTTAACATTATGCGTGATGTTCAGGAGTCGTGTTCACCCGCAGGACAGGCAGAAGCTGATAATTGAATAAAGTCAATAATAACAATTAACGAATAAACAATTAAAAAACGAACAAGCAAACAAATAATAAATAAGAGTAAATAAATAGAATTAAAATAAATAAATACATACATGATGAAATTGAATACAAATAAATAAACGCTAAAATAAAAAACGAGCAAAGAAATAATAAATAAAAGTAAATAAATAGAATTAAAATGCATGAATAAATAAATAAAACTAAATAAATAGAATACAAATAAATGAATAAACAATTAAATAAAATTAACAATGTATAAATAATATAAATAAGGAATAAACAATTAAATTAAAAAAACGAACAAGCAAACAAATAATAAATAAGAGTAAATAAATAGAATTAAAATAAATAAATACATGATGAAATTGAATAAAAATAAATAAACGCTAAAATAAAAAACGAGCAAAGAAATAATAAATAAAAGTAAATAAATAGAATTAAAATGCATGAATAAATAAATAAAACTAAATAAATAGAATACAAATAAATGAATAAACAATTAAATAAAATTAACAATGTATAAATAATATAAATAACGAATAAACAATTAAATAAAAAAAACGAACAAGCAAACAAATAATAAATAAGAGTAAATAAATAGAATTAAAATAAATAAATAAATACATGACGAAATTGAATAAAAATAAATAAACGCTAAAATAAAAAACGAGCAAAGAAATAATAAATAAAAGTAAACAAATAGAATTAAAATGCATGAATAAATAAATAAAACTAAATAAATAGAATACAAATAAATGAATACACAATTAAATAAAATTAACAATGTATAAATAATATAAATAACGAATAAACAATTAAAAAAAAAACGAACAAGCAAACAAATAATAAATAACAGTAAATAAATAGAATTAAAATAAATAAATACATACATGATGAAATTGAATAAAAATAAATAAATGCTAAAATAAAAAACGAGCAAAGAAATAATAAATAAAAGTAAACAAATAGAATTAAAATGAGTGAATAAATAAATAAAAATAAATAAATAGAATACAAATAAATGAATAAACAATGAAATAAAATTAACAATGTATAAATAATATAAATAATGAATAAACATAATAAATAAATTAAACAAGCAAAATAAATTAAAGTAAAATAATAAAAATAAATTAATAAACACTGAAATAAAATTAACAATATATAAATATAATGAGTAATATATAAATAAAGAATAAACATAAATACAATTAAAATGCAATGAATGAATGAATGAATGAAAGTGTTTCGCCGGACAGACAGAATCACAGAATATATCCATAATCATACAACTATCTATTCAAATTATAATTACATTTTTCAGTGATTTCAGTCAAAAGCATCTCATCATCATTAAATATACTGGCCTGGTCTAATTGATCTAATATTGATTTGATCTAATATTTTCCCAAATGACAGGTAAAAATGTCATTGGGTCATAATTTTGACAGAAATGATTGAATCCATTAAAGTGACACAAAAAGATCTATTTTTTTAAGCGTGCAATATCAGTGGGTCCTTCCTAAAACGTGTTGGACCTCAACAAGAAGTAAATAAATAAGGCATCTTCAAGCGTCTAAATGAGAAAGATGTTAGACTTTTCTTCTAACTATTAATTCAACTTGAGAGCTTTATGTGGATCTACTAGTAAAGTCAAAGGTGATTAAAAGTGGTGAAATTTTCATTTCAACCTACATCCTACATTCCTCTAATATATATAAAGTTTAGTAAGTTGACATCCATTTGTCACTGACCCATCTATCGTATGATGTCTTCTTCAGGCCCGTGGTGTGAGTGACAGATGGGGAAGTGGGAGAATCCGCTTAGCAACTTTCTGCTGATGGAGCTTCATTGAGTAAAGCTGCACACTTTCTCATTACTAGCTTAGCATCACCGCACTGAGGCCTCGCTTGTTTATCTACAGTTATCTACAAATCTACAGTTTGAAGATAAAGGACATGTCTGCCGAAAAGGTGAGTTTGTTTGAATTGATTGATTGCATAAAGCAGGTTGTGGCTTTTATTGTTATTATTATCATCCGAATAGCTGTTGATCTAAATGTTGAGTCACTGAAGGACATTCAGAGATTGAATCATTAAGCATCTTCTGTTTTAAACTAGATCTGTGATCAGAATGGATTTAAAGCCAATTAATATATTTAACATAGATCATTTAAAAAACACGCTGTCATTCGCATGTTGGTTGATGTCACTTGTCTAATTAGTGAGTTATAGTGAGGTCACTCCTAGTTTTACAGGAAAGTTCAGTGATATTGTAGTGAATAATTGCAAAGCTTGTTACAGACACGTGCAAATGACTGAATCAAACACTTCCAGCCATGAATTTAGGTGATTAGGTTATCACCTTGTTCTGTTGCTTGTGATGAGAAATGCTAAATGGCTGTAAAATATTTAGGTTTTATATTTGCATAAACTAAAATAACTAGTAGGACCATTTGTATTACAAGTGGAAAATATTAGGCATTGCAGATTTATATCATATTTATATCCTTATAATCAAGAAAATATTTTATAATAATGATGTATTTAGCTAAAGGGTTCAGAGCTTGACAGATCATGTTGAAGTATAAATGTAAATATGTCTCATTCAGTTTTATTCAAAGTATAAAGGATGACCTACAAACACAACTTGAGTTCATTTAGACAGCACAAATACTTCAATTTTTAACCTTATTTAAGCTCAAACTATATTTGGCAAATGTATATTGTTTGTTGTTAACTGAATGGAAACATGGTTGAATTAGGGTTTTTGTTTTCCTCCACACCTCATGACAGATTGGCTAAGGTGACAGTATTAATAGTCTTATTCTGGCTGCGTCTTAAGTGGATCACACACACTTACACACTCGTACACACACATTCAGACTCAGTACAGTGTGTCTCCTGTTTTAGACCATGTATATGAGGGTGAAAAGATGTGTGGGAAGGTTTAACTTTTATTTTTTTATTTTATTTTATTTCAGCTTTTTCAGTTACCAAAAATGTGCCTTAGTTAACAATAAGAACACTGAAATCACCTTAGTAATACTTGAATAAATGTATTTATTTGATATCTTGAAATGTTTGAGCTCATATTGAGATCTCAAAATTTTGATTGCAGATTTGAATATTTTGAGCTCAGTTTGGAACATTGGTGAGATCTTTTCAAAACCTCTAGTGAGAGAATTGGAGTGGGATAATAAAAAAGTCTATTTTCAAAACTCAAAACTCAAAAACTATTTGCTCTTATTTTGTCTTGCTGTCTAGGAGAAACAACTGTGATAATAAAGTGTTCTCTTTCCAGTAGGATAATAGCATGACATTTGAAAAGCAAACTGTACCAGATTTTATTTATATATCTGAGCACTTATATGTTTATTGCAAAACAGGTTCTACCGAAGATGATGATGATGATGATGTTGATGAAGAGACCACTCCTCAGAAGAAGACGAAGAAAAAAACTTCAAAAGAAAGTTCTGATGGAAAGGAAAAAGACAAGAAGTCCAAATCAAAAGGTGTCCTCTGTTCACATGTACTTTAAACTATTTTAAACATCTATTAAGGGATACAAAGTTAGTTTAGTTAGATTCAATAACTTGATTTATTTATGTTTGCTTCATGAAGATGTCAAAGAGGATGTAGATAGTAAAGGTAAATCTAAAGCCAAGAAAAAGGAACCAGCCTCCATGTTTCAGATAAATGGAGACAAGCCTGAAACCAAGAATAAAAAGAAAGGTAATGTTTTGAGAGCTCTTCTATATGCATGTCTATTTGTTGATTCAGAATAATACATATGTTTGCAAATGTGGCGTAAAGCAGCTGCCAAATCTGAGAGTGAAGATGAGAGCGAACCAGAAACCAAAACCAGCAAGACGAAGAAGAAGAAGAGCAGCTCAAACCCAGCGTCCATGTTTCAGACAGGAGGGGACAAAGACAAAGACAAGGACAAAAAAAACAAAAAAGACCAAAAGTAAGTTCTGGTCCTTTCTTAAAGCCATTAGGGTACATATAATTGTACTTACTGACATAAAAAAATATAAAAGCTTCAATAATAAAGAAAATTCCATGTTGTTTTTTATGTGTACCCTGCTACTTTTGCTTTATTACTTTAATTATGTCTTGTTATAATGCACACATAATTGTATACTATATAAATTATTCACTGAATAAGTAAATTAACAAAAAAGATGGTATCTGCATTGCATTTTTTTTTTTCTGAATAGAAATGAAAAATGAAGTTAAGGGGCCAAATGGAAGGTTATACTATGCCATAGTGTGAGGAAATTTAATATTAATTGTTATCTATGTCCGAACTGATTTGTTTCCAAATGTGATTCATTTGATTGTTTCTCATCCTCAGGTCCTGCTAAAGCAGAAGAGACTGAAGACTCTGACTCAGAAGTGACACAGAAAAAGAAAAAGGGCAAAGGGAAAAAAGGCAAAAAGGTGAATTCATTATATTTCACATTATTCTCATTCCGGTATTTATTATCCTTTTTTCAAGTAACGATAGTGCACATGTGGTTTTTGGGCACGAAATATGATTACCATGGTAACAGTTTCTAAGATGACCTCTCTTATTCCTGTGAAGGAGGAGCGAGCACCTTCTCCTCCCATCGAGTTTGACAATCTGGAGGAGTTCGTACTTCAGCCTGCACAACAGGGCGTCACGGTAAGGTGCAAAGTGACCCGCGACAAGAGAGGGATGGACCGAGGCCTTTACCCAACATACTACCTGCACCTGGACAACGAGAAGAAAGTACGACATCTATATTTATCTGTATAGGCCTTCATGGTGTGGATTTTTTGAAAGAAGTCTTATATCTTATATGACTGCATTTATTTGATCAAACAGTAATATTGTGAAATTTCTGTGTGATTATATGTTCCAATGTAATTTATTCTTGTGATATAAAGCTGAATTTTCAGCATCATTACTCCAGTCTTCAGTGTCACATGATCCTTCAGAAATCATTCTAATATGCTGATTTGCTGCTCAAGAAACATTTCTGATTATTATCAGTGTTGTGTTGCTTCATATTTTTGTGGAGACATTGATGCATTTTTTCAGGATTCTTAACCGCATTTTTTTAAATAGAAAACTTTTGTAACATTATACATGCCTTTACTGTCACTTCTGATGAATTTAACGCATCCTTGGTAAATAAAAGTATTCATGTCTTTAAAAAAAAAACATCTCAAATTGACCAAAAAATGGCCCAATATCTCACTACATTTATCTTATCAATCTAGAATCATTTGAATTGAGATGCTGTTACAAATTCTGATGTCCATCTTACATCCAGGTATTTTTGTTAGCGGGAAGAAAGAGGAAAAAAAGCACAACCTCAAACTACTTGATCTCCATTGACCCGACCGACCTCTCCAGAGGAGGAGAAAACTTCATTGGGAAGCTGAGGTAAGTGGGTTTGCTTACCATTGCCATTATAGCTGCTCCTCTCGGACAGGTCTATAACACAGTCTCTTTGATTTAAAGGATGTTTGCATGTATATTTCAGGTCAAATCTGATGGGAACTAAGTTCACGGTGTTTGATAATGCACTGCATCCGGACAGAGCTCTGCCGGACATGTCTAACGCATGGCAGGAATTAGCAGCTATTATCTATGTAAGGCAACATCCACTGTAGCCACTATAATTTTGGTTGAAACACTAAGCAGTTACTTAATACATGTTATATTTGACTAACATTAATTTGCATTGTGGCTTTAGGAAACAAATGTTTTGGGCATGAAAGGACCAAGGCGAATGATTGTAATTATTCCTGGCATGACCAAAGATGGAGAACGAGTCCCCATACGACCACGTAGTGTAAGTTAAAAACAACTATTTATTTAATTGATTTATATATAATTATTTTATTTATTCAATTATAAATATTTTTATTTATTAATTTTCATTAATTTATTTTTTTTTTTTTTCATTTATTATTTGTTAAAATGACATCTGAATATACTGCTTCCCAACAGGAAAATGATGGCCTCCTCATTAGACATCAAAACAGAAATATGGAAAACGTGATAGAGCTGCGCAATAAGACGCCAGTGTGGAATGAAGAGACGGCGTCACGCGTGTTAAACTTCAACGGCAGAGTCACACAGGCCTCCATCAAAAATTTCCAGATTGTGCATAACAAAGACCGTAAGTAACTCAACCATATCTCTGTAGAGCTGTTGATATTGCTCTAAAACAAAAGCTACCGTATGTTTGAAAAATCATACTTGAATGCTACTTATTTTGCAGTATGCAGAACAAGTACAATTGCAAATGTAAAGAATACAACATATTATTATCTGTGCTTCATAGTGTTTATAAATATTTTTTCTTTTTTTTTCCATTTTCATTTTAATTTGAATAATTTTGTTTTTTTCCCATTTTTATTAATTAATTTTAATTAAAAAAAAATAATATTTCTATTTAACATTTATTTATTACTTCAGCTTTAGTTTTAGTAATTTTAGTACTGCAATTGGATTCCTGTCAGTTGCAGAAGTATGTTTATTAAATCTAATATTTATATTTTATTTCAACTCTATTTTAATCAGTGAAAACTTAAAAAAACTATTTAAAATGTAACAGTTTTAGTTAACAATAACAGTGGTACTGTGTTAGAGCATGGTTCTAAAATCAACATAAATATACTTGAATAACTTGTACACTTTAAATGCTCTCGAAGTTGTTGAAAAAAAGTGTCTGCCAAATTTGTTAATATCCCACAACACAATGCACTTGACTTCACTATCCATTTCCAGTGTAACAAAAGTACCAGAAATAATATTAGCTGCTATTTTAATCTCTCTATTGATGAGTAACTGTCAAAAGTGAAGACATTTGTACACAAAAATTAATTAAAAATGCAAAATAATCATATTTGAAGATATTCCATACTGATACTTTGCTGTACTGTTTCACTATTTGTATGTAATAGTACGAAGTGTGCAGTATACGCTGTGCAATATGCAGTGCCTATCAGCACTCTGAACAGTTTGATGTTGAAAAATACATGCAAAATGTTAATCAGTGTTAGTATTGGTATGTCTGCTAAGCAAATGAAGCATTGCATGACCCTTTTTTGTGCTACATTTCAGAGGACTACATTGTGATGCAGTTTGGGAGAGTAGCAGACGATGCCTTCACTCTGGACTTCAGGTATCCTCTGTGTGCCGTACAAGCCTTTGCCATCGCTCTCTCCAGCTTTGATGGCAAAATCGCCTGCGAGTAAAAGCGTAAAGATGCCCTGCTGGTGTCTTTCTGTGATTTCGTCACACGCAGCAAATGGGAAACGTTCTCACTCAGCATCAGCTCAATTCACAACGAGACAGAAACCCATAAATCTGTCAAATAAAGCCACCATTGCTTGTGGGGTTGCATGATTTTACATGCCATAGAGAGATCTGATGGTAATATCCGCTTGGGCTAAAATCAAGGTAATGGTTGTAGAGTGGGTGAACTGAGAAGGGAGGAAGTGCATTGAGATGTTTGATTTGAGAGTTTGAAAAATGCAAATGACCCCTGGTGGTGAGGAGGTCACATTAGACGTGATGTGTGTTTGAAACGGGAAAAAGAAACAATGGATTGTGTTTTAGTTTTAGGTTTTGCATACAATGCAATTAGGAAAAATGTGTTTTAATATTGTCTGCTTCACATTTGAATAAATTGTTATCTTATACTATGAATAAAAAAAGCACTTTGTTTATAGGAATAGTTCACCCAGAGTTGAAAATTTGCTGAAAATGCTCACCTTCAGGCCATCCAAGATGTAGATGAGTTTCTTTCTTGGAGAAATGTAGCATTACATCACTTGCTCACCAATGGATGCTCTGCAGTGAATGGGTGCCGTCAGAATGAGAGTCCAAACAGCTGATAAAAACATCACAAGTAATCCACACCCCTCCAGTACATCAATTAACGTCTTGTGAAAAAAGCTGCATGTTTGTAAGAAACAAATCCATCATTATGGCATTTTAAATTTACTTCCAGCAAAAAAAAATAAAAAATATGAGTCCATAATCCATAATAACACCAGTGAAAAAGTCAATCTCCTGTTGTCCTCTCACATCAAAATCCATCAGCAAATTTGTTTAGAGCTGTTTTGGATTGTAAACGGTGCTTGATCTCTGCATATTTCTCTTCGGATTCAAACAAGATGACTTTTTCACTAGAAATAGCAATATTGTGGATAGAGAAGCCGGAACCGGAAGCAATGGTTTGATGTTAATTGATGGATTGGATTACCTGTGGATTATTGTGATGTTTTTATCAGCTGTTTGGACTCTCATTCTGACGGCACCCATTCACTGCAGAGGAGCCATTGGTGAGCAAGTGATGGAATGCTACATTTCTCAAAATCTTTTCCCATTAAGAAACAAAATCATTTTGGCTAGCCTGAGGATGAGTACATTTTTGAAAAATTTATTTTTTGGGTGAACTATTCCTTTAAAAAAAAAAAACATTTCTATGTATTTTTGGCAGTTGTGCTGTGTTTTGTGTGTGTAACCGTTAAGGATGCTAATCTGAGAGCAAACAAGAAAGCGGTTGTCTGTGCAAGTGTGCCGAAAGCCTAAGATTAAAGCAAGGTCCAGATTTATCAAAGCTGATAGTACATTTCTGATTGCACATGCAATATCATTGACTGATGCTTGGAGTATGTCAAACATCTCAGCCACTCATGCGGTTTCTTGCTTACTCAAGCAAAGCTGATCTGGAATAATAAGTGTCATTACAGGAATAACGTGAATTATCACCTGATGCAGATGTGAACACCTGACGTTTGGTGTTTAATTGTTTTGTTTTGCCTTGTATGTGTCATTGTAGTTTATGATTATTTGTGTAACATGGGATGTATTTGATAAAAACCCATAACTGTCTTAATCCGTGCAGACAAAAGTAATCAGTCATGTTTTTCCATTTTTACTTAATGTGAATGTAAATGTAGGAAGGAAAATGCAATACTTTTAAATGAAATAAAAGTGTTTGTAAAAATTTGCTTCATTTAAGAGTTTCATTTCTGGGTGTTTTTGCTCTTGGCAGTTCAGGCCAAATTAAAAAGCACAAAAAAAAAAAAAAGTCAACATGAAATAAAACTGTACATTCTTCTTGCACATTCCTGGTGTTTTTGTCCATGTTTCATCTTTACATTTTTTTAAATGCTTCTCTTTGACTCTGAAATAACTTTATTTTTCACTTGATGCCACCAAAGCAGCTTTAACGTTGAACATTGATGTCAACCAATAGCCAAATACCTATTTAGACAATGTTTTAGGCTTTAACATTAATTTAATGCTTAATTTTCATTTCATAAATGCCACAATAATAACGGCAAATTACAGTAGATTTGGAAGTTGTGAATGCTGATTTATAATGACTTTAAATGCCTTTCTAAATCTGGTAAGGTAAAAAAAATAAAATACAGATCTTGAAGATAAAGTCATTGCATGAGGCCAAATGAATGAACTGTACTCGTATCGCTTTAGTTTTAGTTATGATATTACACTGGGGATCTCTCTTTAAACTTTCAGCCTCAGGCCAGACGATCTGTCACAGCCTGCTGGGGTGGTTGTCCAAACTTGTTGGTGTCAGAAAAGTTTACCACGCAGAGTTGCTGTGATAGTTTCAAATACTTCCTCATCTTGTCCCTGTAGCTTTTTGTAACCCTTGTAATATTGTAACTTTACTTCGCTAATCTTTACTCTGGACTGTGCTCACATGTTTCAGATTTGGCCTACAGAAGGAGCTCTACGCCTGTAGAGATGTATGTTAAAGGAGCATACATTATAATCTTGGGCTCCATTCCAGCGTATTACATCACTGAGTTTGACTGTTGTGCTCCCTTGAGACGCTGATTGTGGTGAAGAGGTTTCACTGTTCACACTCATCGCTCTGGAATGTTGAATGGATTCTATTAGAATTCCTGGACGATGAAGAGGATGATGGTGATGGCCTTCTAAGGGTCTGAGAACCATGCAGTATTTGACCTGGTTAATCACTTGGTTTTACAGATGGTTTTAAATACAGTGATAAGCTCATTTAATGAGTTATATAGATGTTTTAAATTATTAAAAACATAGAACATTAATATTATTGAAAAACACAGATTTTATTACTTATTCCAAGTTTTTTTTAATCTAAACAATTTTTTAACTACTTATTTTAATTAGCATATTTTACCAATTTTTAATGTAATTTTTAATTTTTTAACAAATGTTTAAATTTTTCATTTAAATTGGCAGATTTTTATTAATTATTCCAAATTTTTGTCTACATTTTTTAAAACTACATTAGTTTGTATTTTCAGTTGAGTAGGCTATATAAGTATTTATTTTAATAAGCATAAATCCATATTTTATTTTCACATATTTAAATGAGTAATTGTGACCCTAAACTTTAAAATATACATTCAGAAATTCCAAAATAAGTATCTGTTATATCCACAAAAACAAGACTGCTAATTAAAAGTTACTAATTAACTAAACATTGTAAATGTTACTAGTCTAATTAGTTCTTTAATGGACGTTAATAACTGTTTGAATGTTTACAAAAATATGCAGTGATAAACACTTTAAGGAATGTGCTCTTCTTTTTTTTTTGTATTTGTCAAGAATAATTTTGCTTGTCTCATTAAATAAATAATCAGTACCAGATTACGTTCCAGATATTATCTAATCAACGATAATTGTTAGTGAAAAACGCCATTATTTTAATCTAAACTTGGTGTTTATAACTCGATGTACAGTAGCTCAAGTAGCCTGCCCTACAGCTTTTCTCTTTACTTCTCTGTGGCCCAAAGTGGGCGGACCTTAGGAGAAGTCCCCGCCCCCAGCCGTGTTGATTGACACGCAACGGTGGCCCCTCCTTAAACTTTTTTTCCTTCCTTCGTTTTCCACTGAAGTGCGTGAATTTCATACCAAACCCATACTTCGCATTCCACCTTTACTGTCAAACCGGGAGAAATATTACTGAAAACAATAGAACACCAAGATAAATATACCTTTAAAGAAATAAACCTCGTCCAGTTCTATCGGTAGAGGTGTTTCTCAATAAAGGTGAGTTTTAGATTCACTCGTTCCCTTTGTCTGGTCGCGTTTTTCATGCCGCTCTAGCGAAGTTTTCAGATCTTTGTCATATTTCGCATTTTTCCTCGGAACTCCCTGCGTTGGGTGGGATGAGGGACAGAATTCCGTGTGGATATGCTGGAATTGTGCGTGTGTGAGAGCGAGGGAGCCGATTTTAGTGCGATAGCCGGGAACTTTTTTGCCTTTGAATTAGACTTTTAAGTTAGATACATTATTGCAACTAACGCTTCCATTGTTGCGCGTAGAAGTTGAGGCGAAAATGTCATGCTCGTCTGCACAGGCTCTTATTTACTCTCATAGCATGATTTTGCTAAAGCATGTGATTGAAAATAAAGAAAGAGGTTTTGTTGTTCCAGAGAATTGCCTGAGAGAAACGACAGAAGTGTTTGGAGAGATCGTTCACCCCTTTTTCTACGTTATCAGGTAAGGGTGACTATGTTTGTTTCACTTGACAGGCTCAAGACGTTTATTAGATTTAATATTTACTGATTTCTGTGGGGTTATTATTAGTGACGTGAATTTAAGAGTATAGAAATACATTAAAAGTTATGTTTTCCATTTATAAAACTTCTTCATTAGGTGTGAAGGGAAAACAAATTACACTATTGGAAAAAGTTCAGTGTTGACTCCGTAACCTATATGAATACCGTAAAAACATGATTTATTATAAAACTGCTTGATATGATAATTGATTTCTGTGGAAGCTTTTATAATTGCCTTCAGGCAATTTTCCACATTGTACCATCCAGACTGGTTTATCAAAACCGAATTCAGTATTTTTTACATTTTTGTATGGTATTTTATCTAAATGTCTGTATACTATTGATTATACTATAATTATTATTTTTGTGGCATTAAAACTATTTTGCCAATAAAAACTCAGATTTCCTCAGGTAAAGCAATGACATTGAGTGATCTTCCCGCCCAAACAGCAGATTGAGCATTTCCATATTAACCCTTCTATAGTTTAAAGATAATTTCGACCCTTTTTGGTGTCCTATCCGGGATTTGTGACACTGTCAGTAATATCTAAACAACAAAAAAGCAGGTTACAGTTATGTGTAAAGTTGTTTCTCATCATCTGTGATCTTTATGGCCAAATTTGTTGAAGAACCAATCATTGCCTTTCAACAAGTTGTACAGCTTTAAATAGTTTCTGTAAATCTATGAAATTAAAAAAAAGTTTTTCTTTTCCAACATCATATATTTTGCAAGCAGATTAAATACATTGTCCTTGAGAGTCTTTAGACCCGCATGAATTTAATAATTTTTTAATGTGACACAAATTTGACTCAAGGATCACAGGAGGATGCAGTTTCTTAAGACAACAAGAGGGTTAATGAATCTTATCAAACATTTCCATCTCATCTGTGTATTCATTTCAGTTTTACAGGTTGTTGTTTTTTTCAGGGTGAGTGGGTGAGGCCGAAGTATTTTGAGTTTAGTCCTTCACATGAATATGTTAATTCATTATTAGTTCACCCCACACATATGTAAGTGATTTTAACGATGCTCTCCACATTTTTATTGTTCCTCTGAGTTACTATTAATGGACAGGTTTCGTTAAACAGAAATGCTGCACTTCAGGTTGAACTTAGTCAGTTCAGCCCAAACTGCCTCTTCAAGTTCTGCTGCTTGATTAGGTTGTCTTGTGTTTTTCCTCCTTTTAGAAAGGTTGGGCTTCTCAAAAAATGGTCGAAATATATCTAGATATAGGTCAGGTTGTGTTTAGAAGTGATTGTTGTTTTGTGTAATTCTTTTTTATAATGTATGTTGTATATCCTTCAAGAGTCAGTATGTAGACCAGATGTTGTTTTGGTTTTAGTTTAGTCAACAGTGGAAGCAACTAAATTGTGCTCCAATTTATTAACTCCATTTTTTTGTTTACATTTTGATTAAAAGCCAAATCTCAGCCAAATCTTTTTCTTGCTCTTGAGTCCAGAACACGTTTGCATTTTTGTCTTCTGAAATTTATTGAGATGTTACCCCATTTTCTGATCAACAACAAATGAGACCCAACAAGAGATTTACACATCAGAGGTTTGGTTTCACATTACTGAATGTCACGGCTTCTTAACTAAGTTTGTTCCAGGAAGTTTAGTCTAGTTTAGCTTGTGGCATGCACTCCAGGCAACCTGTCATGGTATTTGCCACTTATGTGATATGCGCAATTTACTGTAAGTCACCGCGGTAAATATATATATATATATATATATATTTATAGTCCTTGGGTAAATATGTAAGCTCAAGCAGTCTAGTTTTAGAGTTAGTTGTCCCTTATGCAATTTTCATTGATCAGTATCGATGAAGATCATATAATGTCATATAGTATTGATGAAGGCATATAATGCTGAAATTACACATAATACAATTTAAAGTTTGCAAAAGCGCATTTCTGAAATTAAAAGATTTCCCAAGTATTGTTTTGCGCAGAATTCTAAATCAGAACATGTTTTTTCCATTGACGAGGTTTGCACTGGAACGGAGGTGATTTTCTATTCGGTTTATGCACAATTGTACGTTTTTCCCGATTGTTTTGTGGGCAACATGTTTTAAGCAAACATACTTTTTTTGAGGGTGAATTTAAACAGATGCCGTGCATTGCCTTTTATGGCTTCCGCGATGGGCCACATTTGTTGTTTAGCTGCAAATTTGCTGTTCTCATTTTGTTCAGACATCACAAACGAACCCTGAACTCCCTCTGCTGTCAGGCTTTGCCGAGCGAAGACACGTCATTTCAACGTCTGCTTTTTCTCTCCCGCTCTAACTAGAGCTTTACTGTTTAATAAGCTAACAAATCAGTTTTAATGATTTGTTTGTTCTTGTGCTGAGCTTTCAATCCAATCCCCAAACTGGTCCTGAAGTTTGCAATCATCTCCACGGCATTTCTAGCAGTTCTCAATGCAGAAAGTCCAGAGCGTATCCTCCTTAAGAGATCGAGAGTGTGTGATCGGAGCAGATTGTTTGCGCCATATGTGTTTATGTTGTTGGCCAGTTGACAGTTCCTTTAGCTGGTTTGTGTTAAGGGCCCAGCTGAGAGCGTAATGAGCCTCTTTCCATTTGTGCGGACTGAAGCGGCCTTTTAGCACCCGCCGCAGAAGTGGCTCTCCAAATGGTGACCACTTACCTGTCTGTCAACAGAGCTCTGAACAAATATCTAGCTGTGTGTGTGTTTTCAAGCATTTGGGAGAAAGAGAACATCTTACGTGATGCGCTGCCGTTTGGCCTCCTCACCGCCCCATGTTTGCAGAAGGAAGCATTTTACACTGTCTTCAGTTCCCCAAAATGTAATTTTTCCTTTTCAAATTAAAGTCCTTTTCCACGTCGTGGTCGAAGGAGCCTGCGGCGAGACGCGAGCCAAAGCACACACAATGTGTCGCTATGCTTTATTAATTATGATGGAGAGACGGCCCATGAAAGCATGTTTACATTGCGCTGAAAATTAATGCCCACTCTCGGGACACTTGTTTACATACATTTCCTGCGCGAGGCATTGGCAGATAAGATTTTTTTGGCTTCTTCGTGGCTGTTTTCGACTTGAGGGAGGGGCGAGCTGTGGGCTAGAACAGTATAGCCTTTGTTTCTGTCTGTCTGAAGTTGCTAAACTTTCCAGTTGTTCTTGAAACTAACTGTTTGTGGCAGCGCACTGGGGTTCATGTGGCAGTCAGCTACGCTCCGTGCAAACATGCACCTGAGTTGCATCTAATCTAATAATCTGAATTGAAAACGGAAGGCAAGTTGATTATTTTTGGCCTTCTTTCTAGTGGTTGCATTTATTTGTCATTCTTTATTAAGAAGCTCTTTCATGTGATGGTTATCAGAGTGTGACAATCATTACAGTGAACATTGTTGCCATTTCTGTCATGTCATATCACAAAAGTAATATATTTTGAATGAACTTATACATAGTGCTCATACTTAGGATTAGTAATTCAAACAAACCCCAAAACCTAAGCATTATATTGGAATTTAGACACACATGTTGTTCCAAACCTGTATGACTTGTAGAGATATTTTGATAAATGAAAGTCATTGGGGTCCAGTATTTTTTTAGACCCCATTTAGTTTTTGAAATATCATCATTTGTTTTCCACAGAAGAAAGTATGTTGTATAGGTTTGGAACAACATGTTGGTGAATAAATGATGACCTAATTATAATTTTTGAGTGAACTAGCCTTTTGATTTTGACGTATAACTTGTCTCGCACCATTTGTGCTACGGAGATTGACGATGTCTCATATAATGCGGCATATTAAAGAAATGTGTGGTATTACTGTCAGGGAACGGACTTGATGATTTTCACCTGGCATATGATGAAACGGATGAAAAATTCCCCTCAATCTGCCTTGAAGGAGGGACTCTTTGACTTGGACCAGTACATATCCACCTTGCAATTACCCAAAACACCCTAGCATTGCACTTTGCAAGAAACAATTAGGCTACTTTTCTTTGTAAAATCTGTTATTGTTTTGATTATATTATCAAATGCATGTTCTCTAGTTTTGGATTTTTAAAAAACAAATGTTTAAAATGTAGATGCAACTAATTGAGTTTGCTTTTTTGGTGATTTGTCTTTTATACTTTTGCCATATTTGATTTGGAAATCAAAGATAAGATGTTAAAAGATCAGTTTTAATCTAATCTTAATAATCAAGAATCAGATTGCAAATATAATTTCAGTCTTTAAAATTTCATGTTTATTTGCTATTTCTTTGTAGTTAATTGAAATTCCTGAGTGAAAACTGTTTCTACACCAAATCTTTGTCGGTTTTTGAGCTTTTTGAGCTCTCTATGTCTTCCTCTGTTTTTGGCATAGAAGTGTGATTCAGAGATCAGCATATGGGGCCTCTTTCTCTCTGGTATCCCAAGAGTCCTGTGAGCATTCGTCTCTTTATGCAAGTCTTTTCGGTTTTCGTGGGGTTTGGCTTGAGCCCCTGCCTCAGCCACTAAATGACCAAGTCATGCAAGAGCACTCCTTCACAAATTCGCCTGACGATTTTCCGCGGAAAGTGCTGAATCAGACGTTCGAGCGAGTCCTCTGGCACACGCGGAGCTCTTTGTGTCAGTCTTTCCTCTGCTGACTGAATCAGGACTAGAGTAAACCATATGGAGAGATCTGAGAGCAGACAGCCGTCCTGGAAAGTCACTCCGGTGGATAATGTTGAAAGTCAGGAATCAGAAGTTGTTAATATTGCAGAGATTCATGTCTCGTATGCATCAAAGGTTATTTCCACGAGGTGCGACTGTTCATGTAAAGAGCAATTTTAGTGCTCTTAGTTGAGTAAGAGCGTTTTATCCCTAAATTCACTCTGTCTTGGTAGTTTAAAATTTTTTCTCATCTGTCGAGCAGCTCTCTCACAGGCTCTTCAACAGCTCTGATTGTTTCCTGAGTGCCGAGCCAGAGAGGAAGTAAAAGGAAGTT